TGTGCCTGCTCTTCCACAGCCTCACCAACAGAGGGCGCTACGAGCCCTTCGGATTTTTGCTTGCTTTGTGGGTAAAAAATGGTATTTGTGTAGTTTTAAGGTGCGTTTCCCTTATGATGAATGAGGTTGGCCTTTTTTTTTTTTTTTTACGGGAAAAGTATGTGCACGAGTCACGAGTATTTCCTTTACTGTGCACTTTAATTCTTTTATGCGCTTTGCCCATTTATCTGTTGGATTTTTTTTTCTTACTCTTTTCCAGGGAGTTTTTCTATAATAGCGAAATTAGCTTTTTATTCGTGATATGAGTGGCGAATATTTTTCCTAGTTCATTGGCCATTTGACTTCGTGAGGTTCGAGTGTGTGTTTGTGTTGGCCACGTATGATTTTTATTTTTATGCAATAGATTTTAGTAATATTTTACTTTGTGGCTCTTGGATGTTATGTCATACTCGAGAAGTCTTGCAACTGGAAGATTGGGAAATCATTTCCCCATGGTTGCTTCCTGTACTTTCATGGTTAAATTCCTTACATTTAAATCCTCGATCTCATTGGGATTTTTTTTTCTGGGGTCCAATGTGAGTGTGGATCCGATTTTGTTTTTTTGCAGGTGGCTGCCATCTGGTTTTCTTTTAGGTCACTTTGACATTACGTGTGCTGATTCAGCACTTGACATCTTGACAGTTTCATAATCCTTTAATTCCCTGAATAGACTTCCTTTCTATAAAGCTTAATTCCCTTTGTAAGAATCCTTAAATGTGAAAACAGGAAGGTCAGGAGCAGTGAAGATTAGCAGTGGATGTCTCCCTGTTGTAGAAAAGGCTCCCTTTGCTCCTGGCTTGCCATTTTACTCTTTTTCCTTTCATTCGGGGGTCACTGGGTGTCTCCCACCTGCCCAGCCTGTGCCAGCACGGGGGTTAGAGCCGCAGAGAGCGGGCAGGTGGGGTCTGAGGCACGGGCGTTCGCACGGGAATCCCACGTGTCCACCAGAATGATCCGGGAAGGAAAGGTCTTTGCTGCTGTGACTGTGGATAGTGGGGAACCTGGCCTAGTCTGGGGGGTAGGTGATCACGGAAGGAAGTGACATTCAAACGGGAAGTGACCGGAGGGGAGGGACTCACCAGTTACAGGATGGAGGCCAGAGGGGCCTCCTGGAGGCTGGAGGGGGCTCAGCTGGAGGGAGAATCAGGGACATTTGGAGCGTCTGGGGTAGAGCGAGGGAGAGAGGTGGGGAGTGGGCTTCAGAGTGATTATTTTTCTTCAGAGAAGGCAGTGTGTCCCCTCTGTGTCTGTCTCTCATCCCTACCCCGACCCCGACCCTGACCCCGACCCCTATCCATATCCCTATCCTCATCTCTCTCTCTATTCTCTCTCTCTTTCTCTCTCTCTCTCTTTCTCTCTCTCTCTCTTTCTCTCTCTCTCTATCTCTCTCTCTCTATTATCTCTCTCTCTGTCTCTCCCTCTCTCTCTCTCTCTCTCTCTCTCTCATCTCTGTCTCTATTCTGTCTCTTCCATCTCATTCTCTCCTCCCCCGAGTTTCTTTTGCCATAGGAGAAAAGAAAAAATGAAAGAGAAATGTTTCTGCTTCCCGGGCTCGCAAGCGCGGTTCCCCGCTAGGTGTGCCGGCTAGGTGCGGCCCCCGGGAATCGTCTGAAGGCCGACAGCGGACAGCTTCACTTTCGTGGACTCATAGGCTTTGGGGGCTGGAAATTTCGGTTCTGCTCCCCTCTTCTGTAGGTGGGGAAACCGAGAACACTGGACAGCTCCTAATGTGTGC